GTGTGTGGAAGAGATGGATCGGACCACAAAAAAAAAAAAAACAGCAACACACCCACATGCGCAAAAACATTTTATTCTTTTCTGTGTTACCAGCGACGTGTCCTATCCACCCCGGACACACAGATACACACAATGGCACTCGTTCGCTTCAGACTGCTGTGGAATTACTCTCCTTCATCGTGTGAAGATCGTGCAGGACAGCGCCAAGGTACGCCAGGCACGCGGACTCACGGGCGACAGTGTAGCGTGTCGCAATGGCACGACCGGCAGTGCGGCCCTCGCCGCTGCCAACCACAAGCGCCACCTCGAAGAGGCGTCGATGGGGCCTGTTGAAGCGGTCCAGATATTGTGCCAGCGGTTCACCGTCTGTTGAGAAGGGCACCCCATTCCGCATGTCAGAACGCGTGTCATAGAAGAGCGGGTCGCGAACGGCGTTCATAAACTTCAGCCGTGTGACGCGCTGCCCATTGACAGGCTGTGGTGGCCCATACGCATCGGCGAAGTACGTGGCCACGGCACTAAAGTTCACAGCGTTGTAAAAGGCGGCGCCGCGCCTGTAGCGCTCCTGCTCCCTCGGCTGCAGCCATCCGTAGTCTTCGGTGCCGTCGTCACGTTCGCCTTGAATCACATCACGCAATGTCTTCTGTCCCTCCTGAATCTCGCGTTGCGCTCGCTGACGCCACGTGTTGACGGCGTCTATTCCTCCTGGCCCTGACGCAAGCGAGACAAGCTCATTGAAGTTAGAGGCAAGTCCGTCAAGTGTTATCGCGTCAAGTGTGGCGTCGTGCACCCCAAACCCGCTGCACACAACCTCCTCCTCCGCCGTGCGCCTCATGCCTGCTGAGACCGTGTTATCCACATGCGCCTCTTCCGCCATTGCCTCATCGGGCAGCACACGCGTCTTGGTGACGAAGCGTAGTGGAAGCCCTTGTGCGGCAACCACAGCCTCCGTGACGTTGCCCGCGGGAAAGTGCTGCAAGGTACGCAGAAGCAGCGCCGCAGCGCCGCCGGGAAGGTTCACGTCCACATCGCCGTAGACGCGTGACAACACCCGCGGCACCACCGCCGCGCCAAACGCCTGCTGTAAAGCTCCTATAAAATGCGAGAACATCCAGCCAAGCGGACTTTGCCCGGAGCGCAGTGGCGTGACATGAAACGACGTCCCCGCGACATCGTGTTCCCGCAGTCCGACGTGCTTCGGCTCCAGGAAAGCGAGCCTGTTCCCCGTTTCGCTGCCTTCGTCATCATCCGCGGCAAAGGCCTCGAGACTAAGCGGGACCGCAAGCTCGTCAAAGTGCAGCTCCTTTGCAAATAAACGCAGCGTAAAGTGGTTGTGCAAAACTGCATTGAGCTGCCGTGTCGCGTTCGTGGTTAGCACGAGACCGGCGTGTACAGCGTATCGTAGCATAGTCTGGGAGAGAAAGTCGTCGATGAGGGTGTCGCCGAGCATCGTGAGATGATGGCCCTCTATTGTGAAATACGGCGTGAAGAGTGGGATGAACAGCTGGTACTGCGGGCGCGACGCCACCTCCCGCGCAAAGTTGTCGCCATACGCCTCGACAATGTCCTGTAGGCCGCAGCTACACAGAAGCGCCCGCAGTTTGTGTTGCGGCACCGCACGGGACGACAGGAAACGTCGCGAGCAGCAGCACACCATTTGACGTTATGGCTCTCTCTTCTTCTCTAACCCCCGTGGGGATCCGTCTCTGGGCCTGCTCGCCCAAACCTTTGCCGGAAGTATTTGCGCACGTCAGTCAAGAAAGATGCGGAAGTAAATACGCACGGAGAAGGACAAAAAATAAAACAAAAAACAAAAGGGAAGAGGGAAAAATCCATTCCTCCCACATGTTCTTAGAAAAAACAAAAAGGAGTATAAGTACCAATACATTTGTTCAGGCCACACAGCGCAACGTGGCCCAGTTAATACACACACGAGCGTAAACAGAAATATCACAAGAGAACCAAAACCAAAAGAAAAACAACCACAACAGGAGAGATAAATCACCCGCATGCACACTTGCGTACACGTCTACGACTGACGCCCGACGTCTCACACTAGGGTTCAACTGAGTCCTCGTTTTACCTTCTATACTACCCAGAGAGGCCATCAGCGTTTGTTCTTTTCAAAAAAATAATAAAAAACAACAACTGTCCGAGCATGTATGCACACGTACGTGGGTCATAAGCCACTATCACTACGACTATGAGTAGCAGTAACGGCAGACGCCGGAACATATATATATATATATATATATATATATATATATATATATATATACTA